ATGTAGTGAGCAAATTTCTTTCTAATCCAGGAAAGGTTCACTGAGAAGCAGTGAAATAGATTTTTAGATATTTGAGGGCACCTCAAAAATGTGCTTGACTTATGAAGTTTCACAACTAGTTCTAGAAAGGTTTACTAATCTGACATGGTAGACGATTTTGATGGTAGAATATCTATTTTAGGGTATTTGTTCACTTTTACAAGAGGAGCTGTGTCTTGACAATCTAAGTTACAGAAGTGTGTTGTTTTGTCAATTACAGAGACTGAGTATATTATAGTAATCGAAGTAGGTAAAAAAATGCTTTGGATGAAATATTTTTTTCTTGAATTGGGGTTGAATCAGAAAGAGTATATGATGTTTTGTAATAGTCAGAGTACTTTAGATTTGAGTAAGAATGTCATATACCATGCTAGAACAAAGCACATTGATGTTATATATCATTGGTTACGTTTAATGATTAAAGAATAACAGATACTGTTGAAAGAAGTCCATACTGATGAGAATGTAGTAGATATATTGACTAAAACATTTCTTAGGGAAAAGCTTGAGCTTTGCAATAACTTGATCGAAAATGAGTTCCTTAATCAAGGTAAGTTTCAAATGAAACTGCTATGGTGATGAATCTCCTTCTAATGAGGCTAGAGGAGGATATTGTTAGAAAACTGGGGTCTAGCCCCATGTAATTGGTTTTAGACCAAGTAAAGGCCATGGGCCTTGGTTTTTTTTTTTACACAGAACCCTAGCTGCTTAATAAAAAAAAAAAGGTGGGTTGTTTTAAAATGGTGTCGCAAACCAAGAAGAAAAGCCAGAAAAAGTAGAAAGAAAAAAGAGAAATGAAAGTTGGTTGAACAGAAGTCGATCAGTGATTCGATTGAGCCAAAACTTTGTCAGCAGATTTATGATTTGGAGTTCTACATGCTGAACGGTAAAGATCAAGTTTGAAGCTCTCTAGGAACAAATCCAAGATATATTTGTTGAGTCACCTATTTGGTAAGATTTCTTCAATTGTCTCTCTAGTTGTTGATTAGCTCTAGTTTTAGCTAAAAAAGAACTTTCCATATATATTATTTGATAGTAAAAATTTTTTTAGTGATCTGTGAGTTTTTTCCTCTATACTAGAGGGTTTTCATGTAAATTTTGGTGTGCGTTATTTTTCTTACGCTTTTTATTATTGATTATTGTCTATTGTTGTGGTTTTATTGTGACATATTGCTTCTGTATTGTTGTGATTATTACTTTAGGTGTAACATATTAAAAGTTTCTATTATCGGATTTAAACAACCCATACTTCTAAAAAATCATTATAAACCTGTTTGGAGATCATAATAAGGGACATCCGATATTTTTATGCCAGACATTGATCAAGATATTGAAATATACTATTTCATATCTACTGCAACAAAAAAATCGAAATAAAAAATTACTTCAAGAAATGCATTTTCGAATAATTGGAATGCTTTTTGGAAATACATTTTCTCATACAATGAAGAAGTTTTCAAAAATGAATTTTGGTACGTTAAAGAAGTTTTTCGAAATAAATTTCCTATACATTGTAGAAGTTTTCGAAAATAAATTTCTAATAACTTATTAAGAAGAAAAGGGTGTGGAGGATAAAAAGATAATTAACTAATAGATATTTAAGTAATTTCATTAATAATAATTTTTTGGGATATATTAAGATTTTTTTTTGGTGCAAATAGCATTAATTATTAAAAATAATGCTCTTCACTAGAGATTTAAATTATGATCGCAGTCACGTTTTCTGTCGTTTCTCGTTTATTACATTTATGAATATAAAAAAAATTGTCGCAGTCATTATAATTATCGTGATGATAATTTTTTTTTTTTTAATTTTGCTACAACTTACATTAAAATATAATAATTATAATCATAAACTTTTTATTTTAAGATTTTAAAAATAATTTATCACTCTTTTATTTATTAAAAAATTTATTTACATATTTACGAGATTAAAATAAATGTTAATTGATTTCATATTTTTATTACAAAATAATTTTAATTTATTATATAATAAATTACATTTTCATTTGTTATTTAATTACATAAAAAAGTGCTACTCTAATACTAAAAAAATTTAATAATAATACAAATCTCAAAATAAAAAATATTACTAAAATTTAAATATAAAATCATAAATTAATAAATAATATAATCAATATATATTTATTTAACTAATTATTTTTCATCCAATTTATACAAAAATTTTACCCTTTAAAATTTCAAAAAATCTTTCCCTCCAAAGTCTCATTATGGATAGCATATCATATTAATTACTTTTTTTCTGTCAATTTTATACTCTCCTAGTCGGTTTTATCCTAAAAAAAGGTTTATATTGTTAAAATTTCCCCTAAATTAAAAAAACCTAACTAAATTTCTGACCCCCCGCGTATCAGTCTTCGCACTAAGTTTCCCCATTCCCAATACATTTTTGATTCTCTTCTCCCCACCAAACAACAGCCTCTGCCCTGTTCCTCCCATCCAACAACCAACCTAAAATTGCATTTTCACTCTTCTCATCCATCTAAAAATTCCCAAAATTTTCTCTATTCACCATTTTTCATCCCCTGCTTCTAATCCCACCCAAAGTCCCACATCGTCTCATAGTTCTCTTCTTCTTTGCAGTGCGCTCTTCTCTGTCTCGCGCAGTCTCCTCTGTTATCTCACAAGTTACACCCATTCAACAGAAAATCACAGCAAATTTGAGTGCTGAATTAATTGCTTACCTTCAATTATTTGTGCTTGACCTTGATTGAGGCTGAATTTGTGTGAATTTATGTTTGGCAGTCTAGGTTGCTAAATTGGATTTTATTTTCTAATTTTAACCCAATGATTTCTTTTTTGGTGCTTTTATATCTTTGGCAGTCTGTTATCGCCGTTATTCACCATTTTTCGTGGCTGTGATGTGCTGCTACAGTGATGATTCAAATTCTTCTCCCTTTTTTTTTTTGATAGCAGTGAGGGACGGTGGCATTATCGTAAAATAGTGACCGTTATACCTTTATTTAAAGTCCCACTTTAAGAGATTGAATCATTCTCTAACCCTCTTTGCAATATTATTCTTTTTAGATATAAATAAAAAATATATAAAATAATCCCCTTTGTATAAATAAAAAAGATATAAAATAATTATTATTTTATTTTATTTATTAATTTATACACTAAATGTAACCTAACATCAAATATGATCTAATTGTATAATAATAGATCTATTTAATCAACCTACATGCATCAATGCTATTATGCATTCATCAACGGAGTAAAAAGCATAAAAACAAAAATACCCAAAGATTAATAGAGTCCTTTTAAAGAAGAAAATATCAACCAACAATCTAATTTTTTTAGATTTTGATTTGTTTTTAGTTGGTAATATATTCATCATAATGAAGTTCTAGAGAGTAGAGACTAAGCCTTTCCAGAATTACAATGATATCAAACATTCTTTAATCTTAAATTTTAAATCAATTAATTAATATAATTATTATTAAAAAATAATATTTAAATTTAAAATTGAATATTAGTACATGTAATACTTTATCTTATCCACATATTACAATCTTTTTTTTTTTTTTTTCATTTTATTCACAAACTACAGTATCTGTTTTTCCGTTATAACTCGTACGATATTTGAACGGACTCTTCACATGAGTCGAACAAGGAGATTGGCTGTGTCTTTAGTATTTAACAGTTATTAGTATCATTCTTCTAAAGATTCTTTAGCTCTTTAGATGGCTAGTGTAGCTATCTCATTGGCTAACAACTTGATTATCAAACCTGCAGGGTTAAATGGGTTGTTGCAAAATTTGAGAAGCACGACGTCAAACATAATCCAAGTAAATTAACAAGCCAGTTCAAAATTAAGAAGAAGAAGAAGAAGAAGAAAATCCTCTCCAGCCTTTTCAAATGGTTGTATATTTCCAGGCAACTTCCATCGGAAGTCAATGCAGTTTATGTGCGTTTGTGTAACTAAGAACTGTCAGATCATGCATCTCTCAAAGCCAGCTAAAAACTTCTGGCCAATTTGTTCAACGTCAATTCACACTAAAAATGAGAAAATAAACATGTCTAATCACGACCAAACTTTCTTAATTATCCATGTTTAAAGATAATCCTAAAAAAATCTCCATATAAATCCTAAATAAGATGTTGACAAAAATAATAACAAAGCCCTTTAATTTTAATAATACTTAACTGAATTATTAATTTAATAATTTTCTTTATTTATAATCATTAATATGTTGAGATCAATTATCTAAAACTCCCTTCTCCAAGTTCTAAATTGTTTTTGTGTAGGATCACTTTTCTTACTCTCTCAAACTGAAAATTCTGATTTCGTCTTTGAGTATTAGTTTTCCATCTCTCAAGGTACCAATATGGCAACATTGCATGAGCATAAGACAATTTTACATAAGCAATCTAAATAAAGAGTAAGGACCAGCCTGATCGGTAACAAAGAACAACCGAATGGCCAAGTGGGCAAATTGATTAAGGGAACTGCATACTGCTATAACCAACACAAAAGCATTATCAAAGATTGCTTCTGCAATGCTTATTTGCCTGCTTGGCCAATAACATTATTCTTTTGTCTGCTTCATTCAGGCTAGAAATGTTAGTAATATGCTACAGCCGCCTAGATTGAATTTAATGACTGTACCAAATCAAACAATGGTCCCAAAATCCCAGTCGGAATGGGGAAAAAAAAAGAAACTGAAAATACGAAAAGTAAAGTGAAAACTCAAAGACGCGTACTTACAGTAATAACCAGGAAATAAACCCAACCCATTATAGACAAACAAGTTGTTCGTCATCCAGGCCCGTGAGAATCTTTGGACCACGCCCAGATGTACTGAATTTGTTACCCCCCAAAGAACTGTTTAGTGTAGTTTTTTACTTTTCTTTTTCTTTCTTTGTAAAAAGCCGAACGAATCTAGATAAATTGGAAAAAAATATTAGTTTTAGAGCTTCAGATTGGGTCCATCGACTTTGGTAACGTCGAAATCAAGTGATCCAAACTTTGCAGCAGTCCCACGAGCTGTGCCATGCATCTCAAAATCAACCCACATGAATACATGGAATATCTGTCAGATATCCAATATACACGGAAAGATACCCAGAAAAGGGTCGCCAGCTAGAAACAACTAAGCTTAGCGTTTAGGTTACGCTTCTTCCTTTCCATATATTAACCAAATCTGCATCTCCTTTCCTTCATCATCAATTTAGTTAGAACCATGATTACATTGCAGTATACTTTATTTCTGTTCTCTCATTGCTTTGCATGACAAGTGTGGTTTCTTCCCACAGCAGGCATTACACCACTCCTAAGGTTCCACGTTTAACGGACTTGTTTAGCCATGTCTCAGTTGATAAAGGTCTTTCTAACTTTTTCGGTGGACCAAATATCAAGCTGATCAACAATGGGTCCATGGCAACTCTTGCTCTGGAAAAAACTCAGGTGAATTAATCAAGTTGTCCTTTTTGGGTTCTTACAGAAAATGGCTTCCCTTTCCAGAATCCGAGTTGGCTAGTGGGTTTATACTCAAGTACTCTTTCAATGATCTTTTTCAGGGTCAGGATTGGCTTCTAGGAACCAACATTACTATGGATTTTTCAGTGTAGCAATAAAGTCGCCTGGAGGACGTCTTACATCTGGAGTTGTGCTAGCTTTCTATGTAAGCTCCTTTTTCATGGTCAATTTAACTTTATATAAATCGATTTGTACTTGGTTATATGCGTTGACTGACTATGATGAAAGTGGAATATATATGTGCAGTTGTCTAATGCAGATACGTTATGATGAGATTGATATTGAACTGCTTGGCCATGATAAGAGAATTGACTGGATCCTCAAAACAAATGTCTATGCAAAAGGTGTCAGCACTGGAGGAGAAGAGAAATTTTATTTCTGGTTTGATCCAACACAGGAGCACCATTACTACAGTATTCTTTGGGACAGCCACCATATATTGTAAGCCAATTGGAACCCATATTCCAACCAAAAAAAACTTATTAATTTATTGGATAATGAACAGCTAGCCTTTGAACAAAAAAATAAAAAAAATGCAGGTTCGTTGTGGATAATATACCAGTGAGAGAGTTCCCAATAACGGCAAATTCTCTACCGCACGTCCATCAAAGCCAATGTTGCATTACGTTACCATATGGGATGGGTCGCAATGGGCAACTCATGGGGGAAAATACAATGTCAATTACAAGTATGCACCATTTGTAGTTTCATTTACGGACATATTGTTCCAACGCCAGCCTTCAAGACCCTATCGAAGAACCTGACTTCGGTAAGCTGCAAATCAACAGATAACCGCCATGGATTGGGCAAGAAGGAAGGTCATGTTTTACTCATACTGTAAAGATACATCTAGACTCAAAGCCTTACCTCCAGAATGCAAGTAAATTATGTGATTATAATTATATAAATATATAAATTTTTTCTTCAGATTATTTTCCCATTAAGGAACAAATGACTAATGCTTAGCACATGATCACATTTGTTGTTAGAAATATATCAAACAATGATTATAATTTACACTCTCCCGTATACGACAGATGTTAAAATTAACAAATTATTAGTCTGGATTAGTCCAATAATGGAGTGAGACACATCTAAGACTGGATGTGAGTGTCAAACAGCTGTGATTTGTGAGGGCAGTGAAAGGCGATCCACCGAGCATTCCTCTGGACGAGTATGAGATTGAGTTTAATGAGATTGAAGGTGATAATGTTGGTGAAATTAATTATTATAATAATAAAATTGAGTACCATAAATGATAAAATTAAAATCAATTGGTGATAGGTTTTTTTAGTAAACAGCGATATGATTTGAGCTCATTAATAAGGTGGTTAAGAATCAGAAGAGTTTCTGTAGCTGAGCTTAAAATAGCAATGGAACTACCCTTGACTTGAGAGCTGTCTCAGTCTTAAATCATATGCTATACTAGTACAACTCAGCAAAGTTAACTATGTTGGCTAAATGACATTTTTTACCATTATGTTTCTTACACAAAAAGACTTAGTATTATCCTATGAATTTTATTTTATTTTAGAGTAGGAATTTATTTATATTCGTGTAAATGTTACATTTTTGTAAATCAAAATGATTAAATTAAAAATATTATTTTAACTCAAATTAGTTATGAATTTAATTTTGATCCAAATATAAAAAAATACAAAATTTACATTGATGTTTCTCCTTTTATTTTAAATATACTTTATCACTTTTTTGAGAAAGAGAGAAGAGAGTAGTCAAATCCCGAATTTAAAAAACGTGTATCATCGTTAGAGTTACTGATGACAATGGGTCAAGATGAGTTTTTGTTTATTCTGAATCTAACTTGATTTTATAAAATAAATATATGAACCCGATTTGACCTAACATGATATTAAAATATATTTTTTTCATACATAAACGAATCCAACTCGACCCATATATTTATAAAATCATAATCAATCCAACCTAATTCAAAATTAATTTAATAATTTTAATTTAATATAATATTTATAAAATAGTTTTTTAATATAAATTATATCTTAATTATACATAAATATGATATTTTTATTAGGTTAATATATTTAATTAAAGTATTGTGAAATATTCCCTCTATCCTATTTTCTTTGTCCATTTTTTCTTTTTAGAAAGTCCCAATTTGATTGTCTTTTACCCAAAATAAATAATAAATATATTTAAATTCTCAAATTTATCCTCACTTTTAATATCATTACACAAATTCCAGTAAAATGAAACATTTTTCATCACCTTTTTACCTTGTTTCATCTTATTTTCAAGCTTTCTTCTTTGTTTCCCGAAACTTAAGCATGCAGATGGCAATGAATTCAAGACTAATACTATGAGGCTTGGCGCAAATGTTATTGTGTTTTCTTGATGTTGTGGAAAAAATGAAAAACTATTACTTTTTCTTAATTTTTTTGGGTTAATCTTTATTCACTTGTTTATGATGGGTGTCTTATAGTGCCAAATAAATATTTATTGTTATTGGATTGTTTGATAAAAAAGGTCATTTTTGCAGTCTGTATGTTGCTTAAGTAAATGTGTATTGTGTTCACTTGAGAATGTTATATGTTAGATCAAACAAAGTGTTTGGACTTTTGGTTTATCAACATGTCTTAGTCCAAAGTGCTAGTGGTTAATGTTCTATGGATTGGGTGTGTTTAGTGGGCAAATAGGTATTGCTTTATAGATATTTTGATATTTTAGAAGGAAATATGTAATGGCTAAAGTTGAATACACATTGAAATTGTATTTCATCCTTGTTATATATACACATAGGAGTTAGCTTCAATTGTTGTAAAGTCTTGCCATTTATGTTTTCCCAAATGTAAAAATTATGGCTATGTAATGTTTGTTGAAATACTTCAATGAAATTTAAACACATTATTCTTATGAACTTTTCTTTGTTTTCAGTTTTTTTTATAGATAAGTGTATATCACCTTATAATAATATTTAAAAAAGAGTTTATTTCAAATCATGCTTAAGTGCCTAAAAGCTTAAAAGAATAAGAAAACCACAATCATATTCATGATCCTCATTATTAAGAGAAACCTAGCATAAAAAATAAGACACAACTTGCAATTTCACCATATTTTCATGCAACATTAGGCTTATAAGTGAACCTTAAAATAGAAGATAATGACCATGATTGCCACACTATTAGGATAATAGCAAGCTCAGTAGTCTTAAGCTACAAGTAAATGTTAAGAACCATTAAGGTGATTTCTCAACTATAAGCTCTATCAAACTATCCTTATCTTGAATACCCTTCATAAGACATATTTCATAAGCTAAAAAAAAAAACCTCAAATGATCAACAATTTAATAACAAACAGCTACTAAACCAAACCTGGCAGCATGTAAAATCAAATCTGAACATATTTCTAAACTCTACCTAAAACCAAAATTTGATGAAAAATTTAAAGGAAGATCGAAGCTAGACATTTAAAGGACTTAAAGATCAATTGGCAACAAGTTTTAAAGTTCAAAAATCATGAAAATTAGGTTGCAACAGAACTAAAATCTGAAAATTCTAAAAATGTAAAATAGAAACTGACTAATGCTTTATTCCATAAATTAAAACCAAAAAATAAAAATGCATATTAAGGAGAACAAAGCTGGAAATTAAAAATAATCAATCCTTAAAAACATATGAAATTCAGTTTTCAAAACAACCAAGGAATGAAGAAGAAATTAAACAAGAACTAAGAGAATTGAAAGTAGTTTGTTGCTTCTCCTAGAACTGTTCTGGTTTCTCCCTTTTAAAGTATCTCAAACACCAAATTTTTTTCTAGGATCCATCCTTTCCGACCCTTTTCAGTATCTTCCTTTTAATACAAATCTTTAAATTGAAAATTATCACACTAAATTAGTCAAAAACAGCCAACAATCTATTTTAGAAAATGGAGATAACATTTTTGAATTTAATGCACAACCAGTTCACAAATATTTGATATTTATTCATGCTAGCTTAGAGTCATGGAGAGCATGTGTTTAAGTGTGTAAAGTGGACAATATTGGCTATTGTAAATGGTTGTTGGCATGGTTTTAAATGAAGTAGCAACTAGTTTTCTCTTTTGGCAATTAAGGTGGCAGCATGCAATGTGACAACATGCTTCTGCATGTTCTAAAAAAAATTCTTCAGTTTTTTCTTAACTCCAGCTATGATTTTGGGGCAGAGACTTATTCACATTTGGGCTATTTTGAAGTATTAAAATTGCATGAAACATGCAAGGCATGGGTTAGTTAAATTCTTTCTTCATGCAACCCATGTTTGCAAGTGTACAAGTAGGTTGGTAGCTTTATATGTGGGAAGAATTTGTCCAACTTCCATCTTTGGAGCAACCCACATGACCTTTATTTGCAGCCATTTTTCAGCCATGAAAAGAACTTTATATCCTTTCTTCTTGAGTTTCTCCAAGAATGGGGAGTTCTCTACTACCTTTTTGCTTTCACCAGTAACGTAATAAATGTCTTTCTGGCCTTCCTTCATTCTAATGATATAATCTTTCAAGCTTGTCAACTCATCACCACTCTTGAAATCTCTTTAATGCATCGGGTAGTAATATAAAGAAAATTAGAAATGTTAAAGCAATATAAATTAAATTCATTCACAATTATTAATTAGAAAAACAAACAACCAATAATAGAGCAGTACACAAAAATACATTAAAATCCATAAAAGGCTTTAAAGATGACTTATAACCATGTGATCTTTCTTTAATCTTGATAAAATAAAAAAACCCTTTAAACTATGGATAACAAAAGTTTACAAATGCCAAGGTCTTTAAGTTATAAAGAATAAAAGTTTATAGGTGGCTAAGTCTTCTAAACTTTGATGGCAGTTCCAATACAAACATTATGGCCAATTACAAAAGAAAAACAAAATGTTTGTGGTCTTTTATGCATAACCCAAAAAACAAAGATTGAAATAACATTCAAGATAGCTTCCACAAGTTTTCCATTCATTCTTGCTATTGATTCAATACTTCTTTTACAATTTCATGATTACATTGAAGAATCAAAGGCAAATTATTGTATTTTTGCAACCTATCTTTCCCCATATGTGGCAACTTGTTGTTGTTTCCTCCACCAACTTTCATAAGTTCCACCATACAATTTTGTAAAATAAAAAAGACATTGTTGAGACTATTTTTTGAAAATTCATCGAAAGATTTTTCAATAGCATTGATTACCTCATCTATTGTGTTGGGAGCTTCTTGGTGTTGAAGAGTTTAAATAACTCCAAAAAATTCCAAGATTTAAAACACTTAAATTTGGACTATTTGGTGGTTGGCATAACAGTCGAATATCAAAACCTTTTTAGTAACAAATTCCAAAAATTCAACATCATTAAGATCGATATGTGATTTTGCATTGTCTTATTGAATATAGATAGTCTCCATTGCATCACATTGAGGCAATTTAGATTGAATTGCTGGTAGAAGTTTTTCAATCAAATAAGCTCACGTGACATCTTTTGTCACTGATAAAATTGGTTTCATTTCCAATGTTCCTATAATTCAATGCTTATTAATTCTCTTAGTAGGCTCTTTATATACAAAAGGAAAAATAACAATTTTTCCTGAGAATTCTACATTATCTATTGTATCAAATCTTGATTGATCACAACTAGAAACATAATTTTTGTGATGAATTGCTTGCTTTTACAAGTACGTAGAGACTCATTTTCTTCTGGGGGTAGATAATTGTTTTTTGATTCTTGAGACATATAAAGCCACTTCTCATCAATATGCACAATATTAAACATATCATTAAAGGGTATATTATTTCCATTGCTGGTAAGATTGAGCGTTGATAAGCAAAATAGTAGCCTTGTCTTCTTATTTTCATTAGATAAGAATGGCTTCAATGCATTTGAATATGATATGATAAATCTTTCTTTAACACCCTTATGAAGTGTTAATTTTGGCACATTCAACGTCTTTGCCAATGATCAAATGTTGGTACGATGATGTAAAGGAATTTTAGGTACTTTAATTAGATTAATTTGAATTCTTTTACGTCCAACATTTCCTAAATGCTTGGAAGATACATCAACTACCAATCCATTATCCAAAAAGCATTTTGCTTGTTTCTAAATTCTACCAATTGTCTTTGAAGATATAGAAAACATGGAAGCAAGAATGGTTAAAGAGCCTTTTGTAGCATTCCATTATTGCTTTTCTTTAACAGCATCTCATAAATGGTTTGGCGTTGTTGGTTAGTTAAATTTCTTTTAGATTTAGATAGAACAGAGTCTATTGGTATCAAAGAATTCATGTGTCATTTAAGATAAAAGAGAATGATTAAAATAAAAAATGGTGCTTTTGATACTTGGAGATGAAGTGTGAACAAAAAGGCTACTACAAATTTGAACAAGATAGCTATTACAGATTGTTTTGTTTTTTTGTTTTAAAATAAAGGTTTTTGGTTACCATGAAAAATGATGATGCGTTGAAAGCTTTGTAAATGATGATTTTTATTAGTTTGGTAATGTGCCCAAAGCTTAGCAAAAAAGTTTTATCTAAAAGTAATTGGTGCCAAATGCCAAATATTTTAAGTGTGTTGAAAATAAGTAAAAATGATAAAAATAAACTTATTATTTTTTTTTTGAATTGTGCAAAATTTTAATAAACAAACAATAATGGACAAAGGGAGTAATTTTATTAATATAATATATATAAATAAAAAATTAAATAAATAATAAAAAATATTTTTTATTTATATTAAATTGAATCGGAACAAATTTATTTAAAATTCATCCCAGACTTTGTTTTAAAAAAAAACCCAACTTAATCATAAACCCAACTTTTAAAATAATAAAAAAAAAGATCTTATAAAATTAGGTTGGGCCCAAACCCAATAGATTTGGATATTATTGCCAGCCCTATTGCAAACGTGTCGATTAATGCTACTTCGGTTTTAGCTTAGCATGTGATTAGTAGTTAATTCTTCATGGAATTGCTATGTTTTGCTTTTGAAGAATATCACCTTTTCATCCTACTCTGTAATTAGCAGTAGCACAACTGCACAAGTGGATATTAGCATAGTTATTAAACCCAAAGCGGCCCGGCTGTCGGTTGGTCGACCTATGATTTGAATCAGATTGGTTTTATGTTTGGATCATTTATGCAAATGACTCAAAAAATTTTGAATTTATCCGTTAAGTTTATGAAAATTTTTATGATCCATCAGAATTTTTATTGATCCGGATCAATTAAATATAGTTCTTTAAAATGATTTTAAAATCACACTAAATTTAATTGTTACATTGTAATTATTGATTATTTCATCATTTTTATTAAAAATATTTTAATTATAAATAAAAAATAAAATACATTTTTAAAAACTAAAAATTAAAAAAAAAATCATTGTAAGCTGAGCTTTCTTTGTAAGTTTTTAAATGATAATGAATATTTTTAATCCTTATGTCATAATTTTTAATTTATACATTAAGAAAATTATTTATACAGCCTATATTTTATTTATAAAAATATATCTGTTATTTCAATATTGATCCGATGATTGAACCATTTGACCCACTATCCCAAACGTTGAACAATTCAATGTCCAATCTGGCTCTAACGACTGCAGATATTAGTATTATTACTCACTAGGTAGCTTAATCAAACATAATATTATTGGGACAAAAACAAGAAATTAAATAAGAAAAATAAGTTTTGAGACATCTTATGAAAATTACAGACAGGTTATTGAAAAATAGCAAGAAAAGATATTTGTATCTAAATATAGCGTCAAATGATTATTTTTATTTTAAATTAAAAATATGGTGGTCAATTTATTCCAAAATATTTTACTTTTTCATCATCATAAAAAATTCACCAAATTCTCTACAGCCACCATAAATTATCATGATAAAATCAGTTACTACCTCAATTATTCATGCAAGCTTCTCTTTCAGTAAAGAAAAACAGAGGTAGTAAAGAAAGACAAAAGTAGAGTTGGCAGAAGGGATTTTATATCCAAGTTGGATTCTTCAAGGAAGTGACAATGGCCTTCACTTGCAAGTAATTGCTCAGACAGTGAATACCCTTTTCTCTTCCCTGTCCACTCATCTTGTACCCACCAAATGGAATAGCTGCATCAAACACATCATAGCAGTTGACCCACACTGTTCCAACTTTCAATGCCCGAGTCAAGGTGTTAGCAGTGTCTATGTCTTGTGTAAACACACCAGCAGCCAATCCATAAGTGCTAGTATTTGCCCTCCGAATAACCTCATCGATGTCCCTGCAAATTATGGAAACATTATTATTGTAGACACCCAATTGGGTCCGGATCCAGATCAATTGAGCCTGACTCAAATGGGTAAGGCCCATTTCAATCCTGTATTTTTTTTTCTTTTTCTTTTTTTGTATTTTATGCATTTTATTATTATTATTATTATGTATATCTTTGTGTATTTATTTTTATTTAGATTAGATTTATATGTATTGTATGTATATAGTTATATATTTATTATTATTATTATTATCTTTTTTTTTTTGTAATATATTTTTGGGTTTATTTTATGTTATTTTTTTTATTATCTGTTAATTTTATCTGATTTTTTTTTTCGAATTATCTGATATTATTTTTTTATTTTTATACTATCATATCTTTTGATTATCCAGTATTTTTTTATTTATTTTGATTTTAATTCTGGATGGCTAATATTCAAAGTTGAAGAATCCCACTCTGGAGGGGAATTCAATCAGAAGAGTCCAGTTGGATTCAAAGACTGAATTCCCGTTCAAGGAGGAATTGGGATTGATCAGGAACTCCTGATCAACTCCTATAAAAGGGATCCCCCTGGAACAGAGAAAAAGACAGAGAAAACAGTGAGCAAAGCTACTGATTTGAGAGAAAAAGGCGTATAGGAAGCTAGGAAAGGTTTAGGAGTGTTCTGAGAGTGAGGAGAATTTTTTCTAGAAATTTTGGCGAAAAATTTTTCTGGAAATTTCTGGGAAATTTCCAGATTCCGGTGAAAATTCCGGCGAAACTTGAATTTTTCGGCTACAATTCCGGCCAACTTTGAAGTTTCCGGCGACCAGTCCAGTTTCCGACGAAGAATCCCAGAAACCGGCGATCTTCCAGCCAACTTCCGGCGAAATTTTCAGATTCCGGCGAAAATTTTCAGAATTCGGCACCGGTGTTCTTCAGTTTCTAGAGAGAAAGGAGAGAAAAAAGAAGAAAAGAGAGAGAGGGGGAGGAGCGTTCTGCCGAAAAACGGAGGAAGGTGCCTTTTATACCCTCCCAAAACGACGTCGTTTTGGCCTTAAGTAACCTAGAGGATCCGCGCGTTTTGCCGAACCCGACCCGACCCGGGCGTCGACCCGTTTTCTGACCCGCGCGTGCCAGCCCCCTCCGAGCCGAGCTGAGCCGAGCCAAGCCGCCAAGCCGTTCCCCCGAGCCGTTTTCTCTTCCTTGAGCCGAGCCGAGCCGAGCCGCGATCCGAGCCGCTCCAGGTTTTTTTTTTTTTTTTTTTGAATTTTTTTTTATTTCTTTGTTTATTTGTTTATTTTATTTTTTATTTTTTATTTATTAGATTAGGTTTATGTAATATTCTTTTTATTTATTTTTTATTATTTTATTTTCTTTAAATAAAAATAAAAAAATTCTAAAAAAATATATTTTTAGGGAAAAGTTGAAAGTATCAATTTTCCTTAGAAATAAATTTCCAAAAAATATTTTTGAGGAAAAGTTGAAAGTATCAATTTTCCTTAAAAGAAAAATAAATTTCCAAAATAAAATATTTTTAGGGAAAAGTTGAAAGTATCAATTTTCCTTAGAAATAAATTTTCAAAAAATATTTTTGGGGAAAAGTTGAAAGTATCAATTTTCCTTGAGAATCAAAATTTCAAAAAAAATATTTTTGGGGAAAAGTTGAAAGTATCAATTTTTCTTAGAAATAAATTTTCAAAAAAAGGGTTTTTGAGGAAAAGTTGAAAGTATCAATTTTCCCTAAAAAAAAAAATCATTCTCTCCTTCCTTTCTATCTTAATTTTGATTTTGTTTTTTTCTTTAAATAATCCGACGACGGAGCCTCTGTAAGTGAAACAGTAGTTTTTCTTGCATACTCTTGAGGTGAGGGAATTTTCTCAATTTTCTGCTAAAAGTATTAGAGTCAATTGAGAAAAGTTTCCAATAATTAATTACTTGGTAAAATTTTAAGGCTTTTGGATAACACAAATTCAAGCTGGTACCATCTTTTGATGGGCGTTGTGAGGGTGCTATAACCTTCCTCACACGTAATCGAACTCCCAAACCCTGTTCTGGTTAGTAGACCTGAATCTATTCTTTTAGGGGTCCTTAAACTTAGGTGTTCCCTAAAAGGACAGATTCTTTAGGTGGCCAATCGCACCTAGATAAAAAAGATTGGTGGCGACTTATTTGGATCGGTTGACCCAAAAATTCTCTTATAATTAATACCATAACATGCATGACATAAAGGCAAGGTTGATTGCTTACTTGAATTTCAGGATAGACTGAACTGGACCAAATATCTCATCCTTTGCAATCAACATGTCTTCCTGGTAAAAGCCAAAGTTTTATCTCCATTATCATGCTTCAATAACATTCTTGGTAATCTGCAGGTTACAGTTGAAGTTGTAAATGAAAATACCTTTACGTTGGAGAAGACAGTGGGCTGAATATAGTAGCCCCTGCTCCCAATCCTCTCCCCTCCGGTTTCAAGAGTTGCTCCACTATCAACACCAGATCTTATGTACCTCAGGATCTTTTCAAATTGTTCTGAATCAATCTGATTTGAGTATATGCATTGTTATCAGTATAACTAGCTAATATGGAAGCATATAGGAGAGAAACCCAAAATATAACATTGCATTTTGATTGATTCTCCTTTCAGATATTGAGGATTGGGATGCTTTGAAATTGGCTCAGTTTTGTTCTAAATAATCTAGAATGGTAATTATCATTCACAGACACATGTAGAAATAAAAATATGGAGAGTGTTTCTTTACAAATTGAAGGCTATATTGGTGTTCGTAATAAAAGTCACTTCAAATAAGAACTGATACATTAAGAAATGATTGTCGATTTACCTGAGGACCTTGTTCAATTCCTGCCATGAATGGATCACCAACACTACGTTTCAATGCACGTGCCTTTGCCTTCTCTAAAAACTCATCATACACATTCTCGTGTACATATGTACGAGATCCAGCACAGCAACATTGTCCCTGTAAATGGTTTATAACTACAGTCAATAAAAAAGAATCCCAATATGGAAACTGACTTCGGTGCATTTTCTCAGACATACCTGATTAAAAAACAAAGCAAAGTGGGCCAGCTCAACTGCCTTGTCCACATCAGCATCCTTGCATACAATAAAAGGTGATTTTCCTCCAAGCTCCAATGTTACAGGCTTAAGATTGCTTTTTGCAGCCAACTCGAGGACAACTTTTCCAGTTTGAGTTGATCCAGTGAAAGCAAGCTGTAAATGGTTACCACTGATCTCAGAGGTACACTAAAAGAGTCATGTAAATGAAATATGTATCTCTTGGATTACTTATCTTGCCATTCTATCTGACAGAATATATAGAAATTTTAGTGCAGGGTTGAAAGTTTTATTTCTACAAGTGTAGAAATCTTTTGCGGAGATCAACTTGTCTTCTGGTAGTGGGAGGCAAATCAATTCTTAAGAAAGAGGCAGTCGAGAATTAGAATACTCGTAGCTACGTCTCTTCAACCACTAAACTTATTATTTTCAAGAAATATTAACTTATACTAACTGCTGGAAAACTGATAATTGATATCTAACGCTAAAGTTGCCAGATTAAAAGAGAGTTGATCATAACAGCTTACTTACAAAACTAAAGGTCTTTGTCCAACTTTATAGATATTTGTAAGCATATTTTTGCTCTTTACCAACTAAAACATGGGAATATATGGTACCATATAAATACAACACCAGTCTATGAATTTTAGATTGACTTAGCTATGACTGCCAAGATAGAAAAAAAAATTACATGCAAAGATGGAAATCAGAACCATCAAACCAGACATTAGTATATAAACCTAAAACAGATAAAGTTGATAATTGTTCGAGATTAAATGACCAAAAAGACAAATTAAAGGGGGACTAACTTAAGGATGTAAAGTACCTTATCCACCTCCATATGACTAGCAAGAGCAGCACCAGCAGTTGGACCGAAACCTGAAACCACATTTAGAACACCTGGAGGAAGTCCAGCCTGTGAAAATGATTCCCAGTGAGAATGACTGAATGAAAAATCAAGAATAAATGTATGAACAGTTGTTCAAGCATAACTTTGGGAATTCAATAATCAAGACATTCAACCACGTCCATAACCAAAACGAAAATGTGTTTACATTCTTAATTATATAATAACAAAATTTGCCCATTTACCACCAATAAACACTGAAGTTTTAAGCATTGTTTATCTGAATTCAATGTATTTAAATTAAGATATAAATTTAAGAAAAGAAAAAATTAGAAGCAGGGCCTAATATTGTGCTGTTGGTGAAGTCTAAAAGAAATTGTGCGGTACTAAACCTAGGGGTGAGAAATAAGTAAATAAAGTTTATGTACTCAAGACAAGAAACTACCTCATGAAGTAGCTTGGCTACATAAAGAGCAGACAATGGTGTCTGCTCTGCTGTCTTAAGAACGATAGTATTGCCACATGCTAAGGCAGGTCCAACCTTCCAAGCAAACATGAGAAGAGGAAAATTCCATGGAATAATTTGACCAGCAACACCAATTGGTTCATGTATGGTTTGCACAAGGTGTGGACTATCAGCTGGAACTGTAAGACCATGAATCTTGTCTGCCCAACCTGAAAACCCAAAGAATACAGCGTGTCAAATATTGCATAAAAGCAAACAAAATTCAAGAAAATGAGATTTAAGATTGCAAAAATGTTGAGTGTGATTTTCAGTCACTTTACTGACCAGCATAGTACCGAATAAGACGTGAGATCATTGGTAGTTCAATCTTAGCAGCCTGTTCATATGTCTTTCCATTATCCCAAGTCTCTAGTGTTGCAAGTTCCTCAGTATGCTTGTCAATAAGATCAGCAAATCGGAACAATACCATTGATCTTTCCTGAAAGACAATAGACAAAGTTTAACAGCATTGAAGATTATTTAATATGATAGAAGAAGTAAAACCATTAAGTTACATAAGCAGTCATCTTTGGCCATGGTCCTTCGTCAAATGCCTTGCGGGCAGCAGAAACTGCTCGATTTATATCTTCAGCATCACCTTCAGCAACATGAGCAATAACATCCCCTGTCCTGGGGTCTAATGTTGGAAAAGTTTTACCTGTTGGATTGTAAGATTTGGTAAACAATTATCTGAAGAATAACTATCATAACTTGCTTTCATGACACATTTACAGGTAGATCGACAACAATGTACAACTATTACATGCACATAAGAAACAAAAAAAAAAAAAAAACTCACCTGATGCGGAATCAACAAAGTTCCCATTAATTAAAAGCTGAGTGTAGTTCACTTTGACCGAAGGAGTACTTGGGTTATCAACAGCAGCAGCAGCAGTAGTGCTGTAACAAGAAACCACTCTGCCCACTCCAGAGATCCTCCCTGAAAACAAAAATTAATTTCAACAATTAAGACTAAGAATAAATACTAGTAATAAAGTTGGAAGAACTAAAACTAACAACCCAACGCCAACAAAAAATTTCGGCTCGCAACATTTATTCCTTTCGATAGAAAGAACTACCCAATAAATTTATTGCAAAATCATGCAAGACCGGGATAGTAATAAATGCACTTGTGTTCCAAACTCCTACATCAAATTCTTTCGTTCTTTGTTTCTGGGCTCCACTCTTGAGTTGCCATAAATGCACTAATTTCGGTTACCCAAAAAAAAAAAAAAAGAACTCATTTGGAATCCTGACAATATTCAACACACATATTCACAGTGGTTTCAGAACTTTTTTTTTTTTTTTGGTTTTTATACAGATTCAAAAAATGCAACCTGGTTGCTAATTACTATATCAAATTCTTTTTTGACATGTCAGGTGTTAAAATTTGTTGTTCAAATCTGCATCTTCTTATTATAGTTTAACCAAAAGGGAATGAAAATTTGGAAACTTTCTATCAAAGCTGTTTTTTTTTCTTTTACGCTTACGGTTACGGAGAAACTTTCCATATAAAATGTTCAGTTTGACGTTGTTTTTCTTACTAGAGACATATAAAATGCGTTATGAAACTTAAATTTTTTAAAAGTTCCTTTCTTTTTTCTCATTACATTTTCTGAACAACCAAACAAACAATACTGCGAAAAAAATTCCACCGAACCCCAAAAGTCAAAAAAAAAAAAAGATCAGATCAGTTGTAGCTAACATTCATATTTGGCAAGTTCAGTTTCCATTTTAAGTAACCAACTCAAAGAAAATACCTTTAGAAAGTAGAGCAGAAGAAGAAGAAGAAGAAGCCAATGAACGAGAAAGCAAACGTGAAATCCTGCTAGCCGCCGCCATGCTCGATTAACAAACAATCAAGATATTAGAAACAAAACTAAAGGTAATTCAATGTTTTCCTTTTACTAAAAAAAACAAAAGGAGGAAGGTTGTGGCGCATGGAATGATCAATCTGCAATGCCAGAAAGAGGTTTAAGTAGGAGGAGACGGAGGAAGAACAGAGGAGTGGGGACATTAAAGCGACAGTCAGGCGACATTTCTAAGTTTTTTTTTACAGGAATTTGGTGCCACGTGGGGGTCAAGGGTGGAGATGCTTTTTTAGCATTAGCTAAATCCAAAAAGAAAAGGGCGTACAACTTTCCACAAAAGTGGCGCTTTCAGGACGATTCAAATGAGTTAGGTTGGCGGTGCGGTGCGTGCGTGGAAGTAAAAATGTAAAACTAATGCCATTGGATAAGTTCACAATAAACGTGGACTGGACTTTGATCGGTGAATCATACGCACCAATGGGAAAGCCAATCTTAATATTGAATTTTCATTTCCTTTTCTTTTCTGACGTTGAAATGTCTGAACTTTCCAATTCTAGAAGGTCTAACTGAATGTCACTGTAAAATCTATATTTACCGTTTTACCTTATAACATTTTGGTTTTACAATAAATGTCGAATAATTAATTCAAATGGTTCAGTTTAAAAAATTTAAAAAGTGAACTACTGATTCTTCTTAAAAAAATAAAATTGATAGGAATTATTTTTAATAAAAAATAATCAAACAAAATTTAAATTTATTAGCTCAATTAAAAATTTTAGTTTTTTTCACATTTTTTTATTATTAATTTTGAAAAATATTGTAATAATTTTCATCAAATAGGACTCATTTTATAATTTTGTAATCGATATCATATTTGTTATTTTTTAAAATATTAATAAAAAGGTTAATTATATATATTTATATTATATAATTTATTTAAAATTTTGTTAAAAGTTAATTAATTAATTTAAAAATAAAAAATTAATCAAATTTATTTATTAAATCAATTTATTTAATCAAATAAATCGAATTACAATTAATTTCGATCTTCGATCAATTAAACTGATAGAACTGCTAACCCTATTTTAAATTTTGATCTGTCAGGAGCCCACTTAAAAAGCCGAGCAAAAGTAAAAGGCTCTGACTGATCACAGCTGTAGAGCAGTGGGTAGCAGCAAAAAGTTTGGTTAGCTTTTATTTTTTATAATTTGATGGGACATTGAGTTCAAAAATTGGATAAAAAAAGAGGAACGTAATCCCGAAAATCTTGAAAAACAATGGAAGGTAATATTCAGTATTAGAAAAGCATCTTAAGCCAGGTGGAGCACATGGAACTAGCAATTAAATATTATTTGACAAAACAATATAAAACGCGAGGAATTTTTAAAATGATTTGTTTATTTGAAACATCCTGTTGAATTGACCACGTCGTGCAAAGAAACAATAATCCTATACTTTCAGAGCCTATAATAAACAATCTTCCATTTGGACCAGAGGAATATATAATGTCTAACGCTAAATTGATGATCGACGGGGTGATTAAATTAGTAAAGATTGAATATTTTATTTAAGTTGATTCCTATCATTAATAAATTCTTTATAAATAATTTGTTAACTCAAGATATGTTTTAATTTTGAAATGAAATAACATCTTTCCACTCAATTTTATAAACAAAGTTAAGAGATCTTTTAGTATTATTGTATGTTTTATGTTTTTAAAAATTTTATTTTGTTTTATTTTTAATTTATTAAATTTGATAAAATATTTTTGTTTTAAAAATGTGAAAACAAAAACATGTAAAAGAAAATGGTTAAAATTTTTAGATTCCATTTATTATAATAATATAATATTTAATATATAATATTTAAAATATATTATTTATTAATATAATATAATATTATTTATTTATTAATATATTATTAATATAATATATTAATAGATTTTTTTATTAACAATTTATTATTAATATATAATATATTTATATTAATAAATAAATAATATTGTATTATTAATATAATATATTATTTATTAATATAATATTTAGATAATAAAATATTTTTCTTTAATATATTATTTGTAACATTACTATGGCAATTTAATTATAATTTCTATGAATAATGCCCGTGTGAAAATAGTGCCAAATTGTTTCCAAAAATTGAAAACATTATTTTTTTATTTTCAACAATTTTCAAAATTTTTTAAAATTTTGTTTTCAGTTTTTAAAAACATAAAACAAAAATAATCTACCAAACATATTTTTGTTTTCAATTTTTAAAAAACAAAAAATGAAAACATAAAACAAAAAACGAAAAACGAAAACAAAAACAAACAACCCTTAAATTGGTGTAACCCATTAAAGGTGACATTTGACAAGAAACAAATGAAACCAAGAAATGCATCCATGACTGCAACGTTCCTAAAGTCACTCGCATATCTTGATTACAGCTTTATTTATGACAATTCGCAACAATTTTAAGAGGTCTTGAATTTAGGTTGCAAGGATTCTCATCTTTATAAAGTGGCATAATAAAAGCTTAAAAAAAAAAAAAGGACAACAGCGAATTAGCGGTAGTATCTCTCTCATTGCCCTAAGCTGCAATATGTGTCTCAGATGGCAACTTGAGTAATATTAGCAGCAAAACAAAAGCATGCAACTTCAACAGGCTACATTGTAAAAATTTAAAACCAACTAACCACCCCAAACCATAAAAAAATAGCAGAAGATGATTGAGAATTGAGACTCTCTTAACTCCCATGGCCACAACATGTGTTCTCGAAGATAACTCAGAAAGAATGACAGGGCTTTCATAAAGGCCAAACATTCCATGTCAATGAAGCAGCTAATCAAAACTTAAGCTAAAGAGTCTTTATAGCAGTCTATTAGAAAAATATCAAACGGGTAATTGAGCATAACAAAATAATGAGTGTCGTAAAGATTTTGAGGATCGCTAAATGAATTTGAAAAATGAAAAATGAAAAATGAAATCGCCATTAATATTTTTTGGCTAAGTAGGATTGGTTATTTATTAAAATTTATTTTCTTAATAAAATTTTAAAATTAATTAAAATTTATTAAAAATATAAATTTTGAGTCTGCAAAAATAGTTTGGGTTTAGAAGTTGATAACGCGTGAGAAAAAATTAGTACCCCTATAATGTCCATTTAAAAATGGGACCAATTAATTATATATTATCTTTTAATATTGACAAAAATGATCTTAATTTTTAGTATTTAAAATTTAATTTTCTTAACTTTCTTTAAAGACATTTTTATTTTTTAGTAAACTTGAAAAAAAGAACCTTATATTGAAAATTTTCTAAAAATATTTTAATACTCTGCAATATTAAAAAGAACCATTTCACATAAGAAATCTTTAAGAATCGCTACTCAGAATTCTCAAAAATCCCATTATCAGTGGGTCATATTAATTTTCAGTATTTATATAAAAAAATATGATATCTATAATTTTTTAAAAAATAAATAGTATTTTCTAAAACTCATTTCTATGCCATTTATAAATAAAAGAGAAATTTTTATAAAAAAATAATCTAAATACTCCAGTACATTGATGGCATTTTAAATAAATTTTCTTACTTAAAGATTCTTAAAGAATCACTACAAAGATTTTTTTAGGATATTATCCTTGAAGTTTTTTCTTCTAATTTTAAAAATTATTAAAAGTTATATAATAATATAATTATCTACAAATATATATATTTCCAAAAAACACATTTTTATTTATTAAGACAAATTGTTCAAATTAAGAAATAAAAATTTTTCATATTGAAAAGAAACTTCTAAAAATTTTAATACTTTGATAATTTTTAGAAAATTTTTCTCACCTAAAAATTTTTTCGGAATCATTACTCAGATTTCTTAGAGTCCCATCATCGAAAATTTTATTACTTATTAAAAAATGCATGCTTTTATAAATATATATATATATATATACTTTTATATCTCTTTATGAGAATTGTTCAAATTAATTAAAAATTTTATATTGAAAAGAGTTTCTAAATGTTCTAATACTTTAGTAATTTTTGAAAATCTTTTCTCATCTAGAAAATTCTTAGGAATCACTATTCGAACTTCTTGAGGTCCCATCATTGAAAATTTTGTTTGTATTTAAAACTATGTAATACAAATAATAAAGTATAATATGCATACGAAAAATATATATACATTATTATGTTACTTGTTTTAATTTTAATTTATTTAATTAATTCACAATTATCAATAAAACCTTAGAAAGGAACAAAGTAAATAAAATATTTTATTAAAAATTTTTTAAAAATACCCTGATACTTTGATGGTATAAAAAAAATTTCTCACCTAAGGATCTTTTAGGAATCACTACTAAAATTTCCTTAGAATCTCATCCTCGAAAATTATCATTTACTTTTTCCTTTCTTGTTTATTTTATTCTAATTTTTAATCCTTTTAATTATTATTATTATTATTACTAGATATAGATATATATATGTATATTTATATATACATACATATATGAGAGTATAGCACTCAACTAATAGACAGACAAGCATGGAATTTAAATTGCAAATAAATAAAGTCTAATGGATATAGATGGTATGCAACATGTGTTAAAAATAGATAAATGTATGACCTATAGTTTTAAAATGTTAATTTTTGGTTAAAGGAAGAAATATCCTAATTAACAATGAAACAAACGTCCCATCTATCTTTTATGCCAGAACCATTGCTTTTTTTTTTTTTTCTACTAACATTGTCTTTATTATTTATTTAATGGTTAGATCAATGAGAATAAAAACAAGGTCCAGGGACCACCGATTATAGTCTTGGCCTCTCAAGCTATGAAGTGTCCAAGACATATTTTTTCTTTCAAGTTGTAAAACTTTCGGTTTCCAAAAGAAAACCTCATAGTTAGCAATCCACTTTCCTTTTATTTTATAAATCAATTTCTTCGAATAGACTAGGGGGAAAGCTTTAAACCTTCATAACATATTGCATATTGAAATAAATGAGTAGCAAACTTAAAAGACATGAAGCTTTAAATTCCCCTACACTGATCATGTGCAAAAAACATAAACCCAGCATGAAGAGGTGAACCTCTAAATATTTGCTCCCATACTACATATCCAAAGGAGTTAACAAACATGTAAACGGAAACTTCGAGATCTTGTCTACATATTATGTAGAAAAAAATGACAAATTTGGGAATAATGGAGCTAAAAACTTCCTTAAACAAGTATGAAAGCTAGTACGAATGGGTTTTATTTCTTTCAAAATTGCAACATCAAGGTCTAACCTAGATAAAAAATACATCAAATCAGGTTTTGATGCTTTAAACCTTTTAAACCTCTAAAACTTTCTTATGTCTAGTTTCTTTGAAAACTTTCTTCCCCTTTTTC